GAGTTGATTATCTAATCATAAAATATATATTAAACATTTTCCAAAGTTGCTCTTATCACAATCCAAATTCTCTCAAAAATGAGGAAGTCCTTTGAAATACAAAAATGCAAAGAAAATACCTTTCGTTTTGTTAACTGTCCAATTACTTGGTTGGGTTGTGATTGCGAGTGTCAAGTTCAAGGCCACCTCTTCACTTAATGCTCCCATTGCTGTATGAAGGGGGGAAAGGTATCTTTAGCAGGTGAGCCCCTTCTATGTATAAGCAACAGATTGAAAGTTATTCTATTTATTTCCTTTATGTTTTATTTTGAATCCATTTACATTTGAGATCCATCACCTAAGTAGGGCAACTTCCTGACAGTTTCTCATCCATATCCCATCTACTGACTATATTATAATTATAGAAAATAGGGACACATTAATATTTAAGAGAAAGTGAATACATTTATATACTGATTTAATCACAAGGATGCTGTCATATAATAGTTAAAATGTATTAACCTCTTTTCAGTTTTACAAAGCAAATATTTAAAGGTTTCAAATATGTATTAGGAGAGGAACATACATTACATAAGAAACTAAATTAATTCAGATTCCTTGCTGTAATCTTTGTCATGAAAAACAACTCCGAAAAGCCAACTTCTCCCTAATTCAGAGAAAACAAATCCTTTTCACATTTTACACTGACATCAAGTTAACAAAAGAAGAAGAAATCACCTACCATTGAGTAAGAGGTAGACTGACACTGAAACACTGAAAGCCATCGCCTGTCCTTGTTGACAGTATCTGCTCCTCTCCTCCTGATGCTGGAAGGCTCTTATGGAGCTCTCGGAGTCTTTCTTGCATTTATATTTGATGAAGCGTCATCTGGCAGTTACCAATCAAAAAAATATGTACTTCTGGCAGCGACTTAGAGCCTCAAGGCGCTCACACACTGGGTGAGGATACCTGTGTTATCTCCCAACATGATCAAGTTTTCCTTTGAAATCCCTATTTCCTGTTACCTGTGGGCATAATCGGGAAAGTAAAAGTGCTTAAAACAATAAAAAAAGAATCTGACATCAGGAAAGGCCCCATTGGTGTAAAGAGACTTGTACCTGCTCCAATGCTCCTAGCAACCTCTATCAGATTCCAATAAAGGGAGTTTTGATATTTGCAAACCAAGGAACAGCATAACCTGTTAATAAAAGAAATATTCCTGCCAGTTGCACTGCCTTTGAGTACAAACTGGGTTTCATTGCAAATCAAGATATTTTGTCATTTAGTGGCATGGGAGAACAATTTCATTTGTGTAATAACAGAGGTTTCATATTCCATTTTAGTTTTTGCTATCTAGTTTTACTATTACAAGTTCTGCACAAATAATTATTTTTAATTGTATAACATTTATCATTATGCTATTCTGCCATTTAATATTTTTCTGAATAAATAAAATGGGCTACTAAGTTATGGGAACTACATTGCTTAAATTTGTGCCCCAATGAGTAGACTAGAGAGGACCAGGAAAACACAATAATAATAATCACAACAACAATAATAATATAATAAAATTTCCATTGAGATAAAATTAAAATATTTAGGTTGGTACATTTAATGAATAGAAATTTTAAAACTTAACACAACATTCAAAATTTTCTCACTGTTAATCTAGTTATGATTATTAAAGTGCCGTTTAAAAGGCCAAAACATGCAATTAATGTTAGTACATATTGTGACTATAAGGAGTTTCTCATAAGCTTTTACTTGCCCCAACTGTTGTGAACAATTTATAAATATGTTCTGCAGAGTTGCCGTGACTTTCTCTCTGGAATTTCAGTTGCTCATATTTTCTATACCTTAAAAAGCTGTTTAAGTCAAGATAGGTTATCATTTGCATCATGTCCACCCAGCACATTCAATTTACCAAAAAGGATCCCTATTACTATTCAAACATGAATTGGCTTTAAAAAGCACACAAGAATGAGCTTGTTGAACTCATTATAACTTGGGCAATCACTTACCACAGGCGTCATCATTTAAAGTTAAAAGAATATATAGTCCCTGGCTCACTTTAGATGTGCCTACATTTTTTTTTCTAGTTCTGCAGAGTTTTTTTCAACTATTTATTAAGATAATTTTTGGGTAATATTTCTCCCAGGAAAATATTATTTGAATTATAAGTCAAATTGTCATCTTGTGAACCACTGGTGAGAATTTAAGAAGGAATCATTTACAAAAGATTCAGTGAACTGTCACAACCTATTGCAGTTTTTAGAGGAAGAAGCTAGGATTAATGTCAGATATTTTTATTTTTAAGATTGGGGCATGGAAGTACAACCAACCATCTTTGTAATAACTATTAACCGCTGCTTCCGTAGTGCTTTACATTTTACTAAAGCTTTTTGCACACATTTCAATTCTTTGTTTAGTAATCCCGGCCCTAACAATTCCAGTATCCATTATATACTTAATCTGTCTTAAGTGAATAAAGAAATTAACAACAGGTTTTGTTTTTACTCTCATATTACAAATAAGAAATGAAGGCTCAAAAGAATTAAGTGACTTGCCAAAGGCCATGCCCCAGAGTTAAGACTTGAATCTGTGCTCTGATTCCAGACATATGCACTTTCCATTTCCCCAGCTGTGCCCTCTGGTAGGAGTGGGTATACTGCTCTCAGAGGAATTCTCTTAATTATCTCCTAAAATCAAGCTTTACATAATTACCTTTATCATTGGAATCTAAATATTAACTGTGGCTTTCACACACATTTGGGCTTAGAGAAATGGATCAGTGTCTCTCCAGATGTTTCCCTGTTCTGGTGAGTTGGGCCACATAATATTTAGAAACTCATCTGCCACTTCAGCTTCAGGTTTATATCAGAACATAGCTCTGAGCCATCCACATGCTTCTTTTCCTCTGGATCCTGCTGGATCCCACTTACACTCTCTGTAGGAGAGACTCCAATCTTCACTTCTTCAATCCTCTCTTCAGCAAGTCCTTTCTCCAATCCTGAAAAATGGGTGAGATGGGTATTGTAAGGTGGCTTCATTGATATCTATTCATTCTTGATACACATTAGAGCAGGTTGGAGGGAGAAAGGAGAAAGCTAAGAGCTGCAACACTCCACTACCATTTTCCCCTCCTACCACTTTGTGCCTTTTTAAATTTATTCATCTTGTTCCTCTAGTTATAAGCATCTCTGCAAGTGTCTTCACTCCCCTTCCATTTCCCTTCCTTTTCTTTCCCCTTCCTTTTTCTCTCTTCTTCTCTTATTTCCTTCCCTTTCTTTTTTTCTTGCTCTTTCACTAACTCAACCAAAATTTGATGCCAGATATTGGCAGGAAATGGTATTCTTATGGATTCAGTTGTCATTCGCTCATTTATTCATTCATGAAATATCGAGTGTCTGCATCATTCATGGCACTGGGCTGGATGTTATGATGTATGCAGGACAAATAGACAAATCATGTGTGGATTCTGACCTCAAGGAACTAAAGGGAGACAAGGAAAATACATACATGGGTGCTGTAAGGGTAGGAACTGATAACTGCTATGAACATCTACATTGACTATGAGAGCTCAGGGGTAGGACTTAAACTCTCCCAGAAGTTTCCATGGATAAGTTTCAATTGAAGTTTTCCCTAATCTATTTCTGCATACTTATCCAGCTGTATTTCCACAACTCTCCAACACACACTTTTCATTTTTAGTATGACTGTATCATATATATATATATATGCTAAGCTCATTCTTGCCTCCATATTTTTGTATTATTGTTCAATCCCAATTAATTCGGTATGGTCATTTTTACAGATACTTTTTGGAGAAGGCAATTTACTTTTCCAAAGCTTCTGTACAAAGTCATCATATGTCTATCTTTTGTGGACTCCAAATATTTAAAAATAAAGTCATGATGACAACAAACCAATTTTATCTCCTTTATGTGTTGACAAAGGTTGCCTCCTTGACCACATTTTAATCAGTCTCCTGTGGGTTCTCTTCTTGACTAGGTCTTGACTTGGCATGCTTGGCCCAGTTTTAGAAAAGAATCTTGCTAAGTCAGTATATGGACCACCCCCATATCTGACCAAGTTCCTCATCCCCCAATTCTTTTTTAAAAAAATATATTTTATTGATTTTTTTACAGAGAGGAAAGGAGAGGGATAGAAAGTTAGAAACATCAATGAGAGAGAAACATTGATCAGCTGCCTCCTGCATACTCCCTACTGGGGATGTGCCCGCAACCAAGGTACATGCCCTTGACTGGAATCGAACCTGGGAACCTTGAGTCCGCAGGCTGACGCTCTCCACTGAGCCAAACCGGTTAGGGCTCATCCCCCAATTCTTAATATCATAAGTCATTGGCCTGTCTTTTAGCAAGAATGGTAGTAAGCTAGTTTAGCAAGAGTCCCCCAACCCTTGACACCAATCAAGTTCCTCTTAATAATTTTCTATCCACTGATCCCCTCCTTCTGCTCATTGGCTATAAATCCCTAGCTGTTGTCGCTGTATTGGGAGTTGAGTTCACTCTCCTCTATTGCTATAGTCTTAAATATTTCTTAACATTTTTAACAAAGATCAGAATAATCGTTCTTTTACAGTATTTTAATCAGTTTCTGGAAAGGCTCACTCCTGAATTTTAGCCTAGCCAAAGGGGCAAAAACCTTTAAAAAATAACCCCTCCTGCACTTTGGGGAAAGCAGGATGGGCTCAACATGACATACTTCACCTTTTCAGTGTACATGTATTTTCGGTCATTTTGTTTTGAGAATTTGCAGCCTTAAAAATTAAAAAAGGCCCATTTCTGAAATGTTTGTGTGAGAGCTTTGAATTTAAACTTCTGTCAGGGTTATCAGACAAAGATGATCTAGGCTGATTGTGGAATGGGCCATAGAACCTTTACTTTCCTGCTTAAAAAACTTGTACATTCCTCAGCATGCTGTAAAGAAATAGATAACAAATTTATGAACAAAGAAACGTATAGATATCTTAAGAAAGAAAAAAAAGACAGGTATTCTTATTCAAATTGCTTTTATTATACAGTTAAAATACTATTAATCATAAACATCTAGTCTATTCTCACATAAATAATAAGTATACACATCATTAAAAACATGCATTGGGTAAGAATTATTATTGGTACATAAATGTACTGGGAGTTGAGTATGAAAACAATACAATTATGTGGCTAGAGCAGTCTCAAGATACCTTCAACTGAGAGTCACATGTATTTCCTAAATTTAAATTGTGTTAGAAGCATGGCATCTACTTTGAGAACGAAATGCTATAAGAGAAGAGGATAGAACTGTGGGAAAGAAAACAGTAGATTTTTAGTCATATTCTAATTTTAACATTGGCACACTGCGTGTTTTACCAGTAGATTTCTGCATTTGTGAAAAAACATAATTTGTTCTTTAATGAAGGCCTCACTCATAGTATGTCATATTTTCCTGATCTTTGTGGGGAAAGACCACTTTAGTTTTGTTTTATGCATTTGTTTGCTTTTGGATTTTCTATTATTCCTCAAAGAAGGCACTGCCCACATATTTTTCTAGAACAACAAAGAAATTACATGTAAACCCAATACATTCTTATTACATTTTTACTATAACAAGTAGTCATTTATCATTTCACATAATCATTACCTTCTCAAGCAGCACTGCCTTTTTTGTTTTCCTTGTATATTTCTCTTTCCTTGATTAAACATTATTTATTACTAGGATGCCTCATGGGATGCATTTAGGAGATATATAAGATCAATATTTTATTTTTTATCTTTCTTTTAGCAACTTAGTTCTTTTTTAGCATATGATATAGAACTAAAATATTTAAAAATTGATCAAGCTTATGGCAAAACCTGAATTACATTTTACATGGGTGTCCATTTGGCTGACAAAATATTTGTTGAAACATATGGCATTTGATATTTAATTGTGTCAAAATATATTATTTATTATGAGCCCTTTATTGTTTTAACATTATGAACAAATATTATTCATAAAATAAATGTTACCAATATTTCCACTGGAATTGTTTTGTTTGTTTTTTCCCTAAAACTCAAAATCTGTTAGCAGGAAATGCATAAAGTTGTGTGAATCCTCTGATCCACAGTGATTCCATCCATGAAAAAATAAATACAATGTAGAAATAAATAGCTTTGTAGTAAAATAGAAAGGATTTTCCCCCTTGTCGAGTAAATAAATAGCATGATTTCAGCTTGCTTCGTTCTTTCATGCGACCTAGTAAATGACTTTTTTAGCTGCCAGGAGTGTGTTCTTCAGAAGCATGGCCACCGTCATGGGTCCCACACCTCCTGGAACTGGAGTGATGAAGCCAGCCTTCTTCTTCACAGCTAATGGAGGAAACAGAAAGTACTCTTTACTCTTACATTTTCTGGGAGTTTATATTTTTAAACATACTGAACTGTTAAAAAGATCAACTGAGGCACTAAAAAAAAATTTAAGTTTATTTGAGCATTTATCGATTGCAATTGGGCAGCGCCAAACCGGAAGTGGTTAGGAAGCGCCACTGACAGGAACTCGGGAGAGGCTTTTTGTTTGTTTAAAAAATTGTGTTTGACTTTTCAATTACAGTAGACATGTAATATTATGTTAGTTTCAGGTATACCACAAAGTAATTAGACATTCATATAACTTATGAAGTGATTGGGCAGAGACCTTCATAGAGAAAGGGGGAAGCAAATTTAGCAAGTTATTGATGGATAGAACTTTGAGTCTAGCTGGATTTTTATGATTAGAGGTTTTTAGGTTTGTACTTCATAACTTGAGTTCATTGATAGGCTTAGATTTGTGTTTGCTTCCACAGGCTGCCATGGCATTAGAGCCACCTCAGTCTACTGGCCTTCTTATTTAATTAACTTAACAGAATACTGTAGGTTTTTCTGCTTTACACATATAAATTAAACAAAACAACTTCAAATTATTTTTATAATAAAGTAGGCTATAATACACACACACACTTAGACAAACACTCCTGTGTATGATATCTAATGTGGAAAGAATACTTCTTTAATGCATAACCTGATATTATTAAACACATGCTATTTAGATGTATAGCCTTTCACAAGTTGGCTCATCTATGCTTCTACATGAATCAAAATCAGCAGATGTTTTCTAGATCTTAAGTATTATTTTTGTACAATTTATATTGCCTTCTTGAAATATGGCTTATAAAATTTATATTTACCTTATTTGAAATATAGTATCAGATGGCAATAATTCTTTAAAATCATAGGAAAAGCAAAGGAATAATATTACTTGAAGAAAAGTCCAAATAAGTTTAAAGACATCACACACAAAAAAAAAATCCAACTAGTGTGTATTATAAATCTTCTTATGATAAGTAACGAAGTAAAGATAAGAATACTGTGATACGGAAGGTAATATTTTAGTTTTCCAAAATGACTCTCTACATGAAGCCTGCCCTTGCCATACTTCCATCCCACCCTATGCTGTACTAGTAAAAGCCCTACACTAGGTCCAGAACCATTCTATAAACAGCTATGAATTATGAGTCCTTTGTTCTCACTATTCCTTCTATCTGGAATAGTCTTCTACCATATCCAACTAAGAGACACTTTATTAGTCTTTAAAAGCCAATAAAATGTCACATGGTTCTAATTTTTCTCAAAAATTCACCCCTCCACCATGGAGCTCCACTATGTACGTTTGCAGGAACTTTACAGCTACCCACATCATGGAATTCACACTTTGCTGTCGCTCCCTTCACTAGACACCAGGACTTAGAAGGCAGAACCAAGTCTTTGTGGTGGTGGAGGTTGTCATTTTCAATCTTCAAACTTCATGCATATGTTAGGTATTCATTACATTTTGATAAAATGAACTAAGTAGCCCTTGAAATTTAAAATCTAAAATCAATTTGCAGGAATATGTCAGTGCTGTTGATTGGATGCAAGCAATATCAAAATAATTTAGCTCAAACTAATTTCCTGGAAAATTCAAACTACTCATTTTTCCTGAGGGTGACAAACTGCATTTTTCATTTTCCAATAAACTGATGTGATGACATGAATAATGCCACCCAAGACCTTTCTATATGATTGAAGAAGCAATGCCTTCAAATATTTTAGCAGGTCTGTAGCAAAAAAAGTACTATATAGACTACTACTACTATTTACACTGAAAGTGTATAAAATCATTGATTTGTAAAACACTAACTTTGAAATATTAATAGATGAAAATAAAATACTGAATAATATGGTAAATTAATAATCAAATACAAATTAAATCTTCAATAGATAACAAAATGATTTATTTCACAATTGAAAGGTAAATAAAAGCAAGGTTGGCATGGTTGAGTGTCAATCTATGAACTAGGAGGTCACAGTTTGATTCCCAGTCAGGGCATATGCCCGAGTTGTGGGCTCAATTCCCAGTGTGGGGAATGCAGGAGGCAGCCGATCAATGATTCTCTCTCATCATTGATGTTTCTATCTTTCTCTCCCTCTCCCTTCATCTCTGAAATCAATAATTTTTTAAAAAGGTAGATACAATTGATTATCTCAGGGAATCTATTGTGGGTATGAAATCATTTTTATATAATTTAATTTTCAACTTCGAAAAGTAAAGTGGCTTGAAATTATGTATATGTTGAAAAAATAAATAACCATAGCTACTATCAGTTGAGCCCCTACTACTTGCCAATAACTTTCTATACATTATTTTAATAATATTTAAATATTATTTGATTTTAATAGATGAGGAAAATGTGTTCACTGAAGTCACTGACTTACTACTCTCTTGTAGAGACACTGTTCAAAGCCAGGTTTGAAAAGTTCTATGATTGCATCATTCCACCCCTTCCCAGTACAATTGTATTACCATGACCTGAACAAATGGAAAAGTCCCAAGAAAGGCTCATGTGCCAAAAATGAACTGCTTTCTTAAAGGGTTAGGAGGACATTCTGAAAATAGAAATAAGAGGAAAAAATTCTAATCTAGTAGTTTTCCTGCATTTTTACTATAGATGCTCATAGCTTATCATCTTTGGCTTTTATCTAAAACTTCAAGTTATACAGCAGGCTCAGCGGTCTGCGTTGCTTTCTTCCTGGATGTCAAGACAGATAAAGCACTGGTTTGCTTAGGTGTCATGACCCTTCTTTACCAAATTACATTTTTCATAACATGGTTACTATCGCATTCTTGTGCTCAAAAAGTGATCTTTGTGGGGAAGGAAGAGGGAATGGACATGAGCTGTTTTCTGAAATAATACCTGCCCAAAATGTGTAGCTTGGTTTTTGCATTTTCCCACAATTTACTGGTAGGAACTAACACACATTTATTCTGTCCTACCTATCACTTCATAGAATTAGACTATGTGATGGGTAATGAGTTTTCACCTGAACCAGAATAGGGCTTCCCTGGACATCCATAAGCATTTAGCAACAACAGAGCCTTGTAGATTATTAATGAGGCAGAAGTTTTTATCACTGTGAATACCCCTGGTTATTCAAATACTTGTTTCAGATATATTTTATCTTTAAAATAAAGTGAATAGATATGAAAATGAAATTTGTACATAGTCCTGAAAGGCAGACAGTAATGAATTTGATTAAAAACATATCCTATATAATAAAAGGCTAATATGCAAATAATCTCCTTGACTGGGAGTTTGACTAGGAGTTCGACCAGGGGGCGGGGCTGGCTGGCCAACTCCCCACAGCCCCTTCCCCTCTCTGGCCCAATTGGCCAGACCTCACCTGTGCATGAATTCATGCACTGGGTCTCTAGTATAATATATACAAGGTCTTCATTCCTTTGGATTTGATTTTCATGGGAATCTATGTCTGAGAAGGAAATACAGAGATGGGCAAAAATAGGTTCACAGTTGTTCATATGGAAAATAATATAATTAATAAATAATAATGCAATAATAAACTTGGTGTTTTGCATACTCACAGCTATAAACCTAGTTTTGTCCACCTCTGCTTAAATTGATGTGCTGCTGGCTAGTCTTACTGCATTCTTTGTCTATTTATATAAGGAGTAGGATATGGAAGTGATTTCTTAGGAAAGATAGGGGATTATCATGGGCAAATGCCAGTAGGTACAGATGCCAATGCTTAAAAAAATTCTCTAGTCTAATGATTTTGCATAACTATTTCATAGCTGTCTTAAGTGATGAGTTTATAAAGTATCAGAGGTGGTTTATGACTAAAATTAGTCATGTGAGAAGGAGTTAAATTCAATACATGTTTGATACTCTAAAAAGCATCTTCCCCAATTGTATGTGCAAGAGAGTAAGTTAACAAGCATTACTTCTCCAGAATAACCTTTTATTGGCCGGTCTCTCCCTGAGGGCAGACAAGGGTTTGTACCTGCTTATAGAAGTTGATGCTTTTAAAGATTAATCCTATAATGTGTGGGCAAAAGTGTTCTATATGCTCCATTGGAAAGAAATACAGAAGCATTTTAAGGTAGTAATTTCCTTCAGAGACTTCCTGTGAGTGTGTCTAGGTGTGAGGGAGTATATGTGTGTTTTAAGGAAAATGCCCAAAGTTCTGTTTATAAGTGAATCAGGTGTTAGACCTTGATTGATATCAGCACTTTTATAAGAGACTCATGAACAGTATTATAAAAACCAGGGTTAAATTCATAAAGTCAACATAATTTTAAAGTCACTAAAACTCTTAAGCAAATAAAACAATCATCAAATCCTATTATCTGCATGGAACTTGCTCTAAGGAATGAGACTTAGATGGAAATGACGTGGCCATGTTTAAAGCAGGTTCCTAAAAAAAAAAAAAAAAAAAAAAAAAAAGAAGAAGAAAAAAAAAAAACAAGATTATTTTGAGGAAAGGCAACAATTATCTTGACAATTTGAATGACCTCTCTGTGAACTTTAGACCCTGCAAAGTAAATTCTATAGATTGCACATGGTCAAACTCAAATTTGAAGACTTGGAATAGAAAGAACAGTAAAGTCACAATGCCAATGGGATGTTCATGTAGAGATTGGAGATATGTGCAGTCATTTTTTATAATCTATTATAATAGTCTCTTGGTTTCCAGTCTCTACCGTATTAGACATATAACCTGCAGCCAGATTTAGTCTTTAAAACACAGATTAGATCATTTCAGTTTATATACATTGGATGAATCTTCACTGTCTCTAGAATAAAGTATAAATTCTCTGTCATGGTAAGTAAGATCTTTAATAGCCTGGCCCTGCATCCTGTTTTGCATTATTTCCTAACCCTTGCATATTTTCCTAACTCAATTACTCTCTGTTCCCACACATGCTACAAACCAGCCCAGATAGATTTATAGCAAAGGTTCCTTGAGAACAGCCATAGTCACTGTCCCTTAGAACT